TTTTGGGAATCGCGTTGAGCTTATATTCCAGAAAAAATAAACCTATACAAATGAGTTTATATTTTTAATAACGTACTAATGTGGTGACATATTTTTATTGTTTATTCTCGTGTGTTCGTGTAGTAACATAATGTCGACGTGCAATATAATGTAATGTGAATAGTTCCCGAGATCAGGTCGCTGTGTACTGACAGACATGCGACAGTAAATCAGTCACCACTTATTTGTGTTGCCAACCTACTTCATGTATCCTGAATGTTATTCTTAGAGACACGTGTTGTTTCCTGAATTATTTATTTCTCTTCAAAACATGTTTTTCATGTCTATTCGCTGTTTCTGTGTGCCTGTGTTACTAATTTAAGTTTTGGTTGGAATGCTCAATGAATCTAAAGAAGAAACAATTATTTTTATGAGTGAAACATAAATGTGAATTGAAAACTATAAGCACTGCTTTGAATTTTGTCTGAAGTCCACAAAGATTTTATCCTTAACCATTATAATGTGAACCCTATTGTTATCAATCCTTCTCAGTGTCAGAGCTCTAATGATTCCGTATTTTCGTGCCTGAGTGTGAAAGTTTGGCATTACTGTTACGCCGAACGCTTTCCACTTAACTGTTCACAGAATTGAAAAATCTAAGAATAAGTAAAAAATTCAAAGTCCATTTACTTGGTAATCTAGGTTAGGACAACAAAGTGAGACCGAAAATTAGAATTTCACTTTGTTATGAGGCGTATCCAATATTGAGAGTAAGGTCGTCTGCGGTTTTGTGGTATTCATAGTGAAGCACCTATATTGCCAGTCATCATGAAAAATATGAAATGGATTAATTAATTAGACCATGATGAAAATGAACAGGGAAACTTTTACCAGTAGGATAGATTGTAAGACGACCACTTTTATTCTTAAAGAGATTAGAAACGTCACTTGTACATTCATTGCTCGTTCTTTCTGGCCAATCAGAAAATAATTCTTCTATCTAAAAGAGCACAATTCATCAACGTGGTGCGGAATTGGGGCAATATCTCCGGGCGAGATATTTTTGAACGCGCGGCCCAAGTTTTAATGAAGTGTCGCCCCCCAGGCTCCGAGTTAAAAACTAACGCCAACTGCTTACCAGATCGCACTTGACTAGAACTTGCGAGGTAGTGGCGACATCTGTGGGTGGGATGATGGATTAACTCGTCATAAACCACTTGAACTCGAAGTAATATTTCTTTAGATTATTATCGACACCTAGCATTTTACAAAACTAGAAATGAAATGTAACACATTAAAATTATAATTAAGAATATGACAAATGTCTCAACCAATAAATAAAATAATGAATTCAGCTCACAATACCTGTAACATTCAGCCACAATATCATAACCACATGCAAATAGATAATCATCAGAGAGTGGGTCCTCAAAGGCTGCGCAAACATTTCTTACAAAGGCCCAGCGGCGGCGTGAATTAAACATGGCCGCCGTACCTTTGACCTGTAATTAGCTCCCGTAATTGTACACACGGCCCAGACGAGGGCAACTTACTAAGTACTGAGGCCTTATATGTGATATGAAAGCATAAGCTATACGATTTGAAAACTTCACAAAGTACTATGTGACTTGTATTTGTATACATATTTACCGACTTACTTAATGGTAGGAATGTTTTCAATGTTAGCTGCTGTGGTAAAATCTTACTGGCTTATGATCCGTATATGTCTGCTTTGATAAATGTAAAGGGATGTAATACTGTATTGGATGTGATGTCGTACCTCAGCTTATCTCGTCACGTATCAACATGTCGAGTTGCTCCTAAACTTGACTTCATAAATCTTGTACCACGTTAACACAAATAAAGTTCCACACATAGCACAAACTTTCTCCGCGGCCGTACTTCTCTCCTAGTTAATTATTTAGCTGCGTTTTCACATTTCAAATATTAACCTTCAAACAAGAACAGCGTCTTGATTTCCAAGAATTTTAGTGAAGAGAAGAGAAATGTTAGTAACTACAACATTTTACGAAGTAAAGTTGTCAGCGGTACATTAGTATTTAGTGTTCGAGGCGCGACGCGACGCGACGCGACGCGACGCTGGACAAACTTTGTAAATGTTCTCGTGGTTACTGAATGTTATTTACCACTACACAGTTTTGTAATAACATTGAGGACTTATTTTTAATAGCTACTTAAATAAGATCAAGGTTTTAATTAAACTTGTAAGGAGAAGCTTCTCCTAAAAACTGAATTAAGTTAAACAACACTCCATCATGGCGACAAGATCAAAATAAATTAAAGCTTGAAATGTTTATTACGACAATTTTCCGAGTACACATGAGACCTTCGTCTCGACAAAGCTAAAAAGTAAACCTCGCAAATGTTCCACATTTATTATTAATAAGGTAAAGTATGTACTCATTGGGTGGGCAGCACGTGCAACATCCCACCACTAAATTACTGTCTTAGATCGGACACTGCCCATGTGTGCTTTACACTCTTTTAAGTCTTATCAAGAAACATGTGGCCATCCTTGTACATTTCCCACATACCATTACAAACTCCGCATATTTGACCTGTGTTCATTGAATCAGTGCTCAGTGGTGTGTAAGTAACTTGTGACAGACACTGTCCGTCCGTCTGTCGGTGGCAGCCCAGCCGGCAGGTGACTGGCGTCCGTGAACATTACCTAGCTCGCGGTCACAACTAGGCCTAATTTGCTCTCTTATTTGTTAACCTATTCCTTACGTATTTATAATATTGTATGTCTAATTTACTGAAACAAATATTCTAACTATGTGTAAACCTAATAAACAAGTATGTAAGAACACAACGCAACGGTGGGTGGTTTATTATTAAAGATCTATTAGTCACTGAGCTTGAATTCATGATGTTGATAATTACATTAACACCCATTCTTATATAAGCCTGTAATTGCTTGCTATAATTAATTTATTTGTTCAGTAGTCGTTGGGTATACTGGGAGATATCTCCAGGGAAGTTGCGTATGTAAATATTAATATGAATATTTAATAAAATGTATATTATGTACCATCAATATAAGCATATTATATGGAGGATTACACGTAGGTGTAACGACTATATCTACATACACTGTATGTCATACAGGTGATGACGCACTACATTATATTACACGTACCTCTATATACAACATATGAAGAAGTCAGTCAAATTACTTATTGAAATAACTGCTTTTCTAGAAACGAACAAGCCACATAGTCGTTTTGTATTCGGGAAATTAGGTACAACATATTAGTGTTTTGAGGTGAAGTCATTTGACCCACTTCACTTTATAATTCAGGTAACTAGGCATTTGTACAATATTCATTAAATTATAACAATTACGATTGTGAAAGTTTCAGCCTTACAATTGCTGGCTGCGGTCAGGGAGTTATTACAATCACTATTGTTATGTATTGTTACCGAGTCGCTGTTTATTTGCTTACAATACACAAACAGAAACCTTAAAAAATAGCAGCTTTTTCCTTTTGTAATAATTATTTCCCAACCCGCATTGAGCAAGCGTCGTGATTCATGCTCAAACCTTCTCCGTGCGAGAAGAGGTATTTGGTCAGCAGTGCACTTATACGCTGTTGATGACGATTAACTATTTTAGTGACGTCTGTCAAGGGGACAAACATTTAAGTACTAAGTTAAATCAATACTGTAATTTGCTAGACGGTATTACAAATGAAAATAAAGTGAAGGTATCTATGTTAGTTGTCTATAAATAGAGCAGGAAGAGGAAGTGATACAGGGTGTGCTCACGTGTCCGCCGTAACGTAACGCGACGCTGAGAGCACTCAACTTGTATTACCGATGGCCTACACGCTCAGATCATACTATACTTGGATACGGCGGTAGTTCTTGTGTTTACCTTCAGAATGTTATGTAAATTTTTCAGACATGACAAAATTGTCATTTTCTTACCTTATGTACTTTTGATTAAGAACCTATTAAAAATTAGAAATAGGACTCAACATTCCACTACTTTTTTACTGGTGACCCGCCCCTTTTCACGGTCATTAGTGTTTATCTTCTGTGTTATGCATATATCATACGTATAAACTCTAAATCACTCTATTTAAAAAAACGCATCAAATTCCGTTGCATAGTTGTAAAGATCTAAGCATAAGGACAGACAGACGACTTGATTTTATATTATGTAGGGACTAGTATTAGTATCTTGACTAAAGGCTGCAAATTGGACTTAGTACGAATAATCAATAAATTCCTCCTCTACGTTGTTCACTTATTTTAAGAAAAACTTTAGCAATTTGTAACACATCTCTAGTTTCAAAGATCTGTGGCTACAAGACTACGTCGCTACGCCGTAGGTCGCTACGCCGTAACTCGTAGCATTGCTACGTGGCTACGAGTTATGTAGCATTGTGGTCTTTGTTTGTTAGTGGAATTGTAGCCTCAGATCTTTCTAGATATTTGTGATATGTCGAGTCTATTGTAATAAAGTAATAATTATAGATCAAATTCTTGAAACTATAACTAAATCTCTAATACTTCATGTTACTGTTACTACTGAATACCTTTATTTTTTATTTTACGCTTTTCTTGGCTTCATGTTCGCTTTTCTTTTTCTTAATTTTACACAAACTTTTGGTAGCTAATACGTTTTAATGTTTGTAAATGAAAAAGCTCACGTGACTTTGCTGTCTGTAAATTTATTTAACGTCTGTGGAGTTTCTGAAATAATATATTCCCCTGATAGCGACAAGTTCACGTAGAATACGACTTCTATGACAAAACTGTGTCTGCTGTGTGGATAAAGGTCTTGTTTATTTTCAATTGCAGAGGTGCAGACTTATGTCTGGCCGATTTTCAACCGGCTCCTGCGCAATGTAATATAAATATTTCTTACCGTCCAGGTTCTAATAATATTTCAGTGGGACGCAGTGATTAGATCGAAGCACTAGCGAGGGTTCCTCACTTATCTCGTCGCCTGAAAGAACACACTTAGTCTGTCATTGTGGTTGTTCATAATGTTCACAATGTTCACACTCCGCGCCCTCACACAATGCCTCACATATACAACCGACGAATTATATGAAAGCGTGGACAAATCCGCGGTACGGTATATATGTAACTATATGACTGATAGTATGACATAGCCGTTATTGATATAAAATATAGTTCGAACTACCTCATAATTTCATATCATTATAAATTTGTTTTTACCAAAAAATCAGCTTATTCTGTAATCTAGAAATGTATCAAATATAATTTGCAAGATTCAAGTACAAACATCGGTACAGATGAAGCTAAATAAAAGCTTGAAAAAAAATATTTTTTTAACGAAACAACTTTGAATCGTAGCTTTGGTATTTAAAAATGTATAGAAAAACGGAAGCTAACCGTAACATTATTGCTCCTATAGTTTTTTTCTGTACAATTTTGTTCTATCTACTAATAGTTGAATAGTTTGTTGCGGGGCGACAAACAGTGGAATTTTTCAATTGTCGAGCAGACGTTGCGTCGTGTGGGAACGAATGTGTCCTCGGGGAGGCTTTACTTGTAAACCTTTATCTTGTAAATAATGAGCCGTGTTTATTGTTACTAGCTCTGAATTGTAATGTTACGAGATCTGTATTGGATTCGTGAATTTGGTAAGCTTTCATTTAAGTAATGTTTAAAAGTAGAAATATTAAATATTGGTAGGCAGTTATTAAACCATCACGGTTCATGTCCAATCATCATCATTTTCTTTTAATTGTTTAGGATTTTCACTTATTCATACGTAAGAAAAGTATGACATTACGATGTTTTTAGTTTATACTTGGACTTATATTCTTAATTTCTGAAAAAGCTGACGTAAATAAATCTGTTATCTACAACGTAGCTCATACAAATATTATTTCAACACGAAACGTTTCCAATCAATCACTCAAGTAATATAACTAGCCACAACTAACACAACCCTTTTCAAAAGTACCAAAAATGGTTGTACAACAAACAAACCCGATCATTTTGTGGGACGCCGGCGACGTCGCCTACATTAAACATTCAGTAGGTTACAGGCGAAGGTTTCAGCTTCAGCACCATTTTGTAAGCAAGCCCTTTGTAGTACAAACTTAAATATTTCCTGCTTCCTCGTCTTTGTGCGTGTCTTGTAATATTCAGCGATGTTAATGCATTTTACTGTAGCTATTTTGGTATTGGGTTGTAGATGAAATATTTTGGCATAACTTTGTGTACATTTTGCATAACTTGCTGGGAGTTATTAAAAGAATAAGATGGACAAGAAAAAGTTTTGTCACTTAAATATTCTTCTTGTCTTTGAGTTCTACTGCCGGTTACCAGGCACCGGCTATCTTGAAACTGGAGCGACAGAAAATAATCTTATAGTCATTGAGAACCTAACGGGTTACCGGGGCTCCGGCTCGAAGTGCAGGAGAAGGAACGGGGTGGTTTTTAGTCAATAAGAGTCTGACAATCCCTCCCGCCTCACCCAGGCAGGAGAAGTCATTCGACGATTTTTCCCCCTTAAAAAAAAAGTCAAATCAAATCAATTTATTTGTCAAAGCATTTATTTCAATTAAACTACTATTTGGTTCTTTTGAAACGTCAATACATACAATATAAATAATAATCTGTCAGTCTGTCCATCATAGAAGCTAGGTGCTCGCTCCAAAATGTATCTACATTTAAATGGAGGAGAACGAGTGAGAAACTCTATTCGTTATTCCTTATCGACATTGATAAAATTAATTTTCTCTAGTTTATACTATAGACAGGACCTGTTCTCTGTGTTCAACCTTTAACCAGATCCGCGCACATTACATTATACACTGACAAGTTATAATCAGTTGAACAAGACGCTAACTCACAACAACTTACTATGCTATGCCTTAGCTAAGGCTCAGCCGCCTTCAACACGCCGAGCGACCTGACGAGAATTATATTCCTGTTATTTGCCTGTACGCAGGTATTAACAAAACACTGTATTGAATATAATTACTTACAAATTGTTTTAACTAATTCTGTTTCTACTATACGTTACCATGTTTCATTAACAATTTAATTGCATATAGCTGATTTCGATTCCAACAAATAATTATACAGAATTAAGCCTCTACTATTTACTAATTACGCGCTCTATCAAAGCAGGAAATTGCAATATATACGCTATCAGGCTGCTCTAAAATGGGTGCATTCTGTGGATTATTAGTTATTTAGGTCTCTCGCTAAGAGTCAACCAGTGAATTGGGTCAAACTAGGCGGCCGTGGCCTAACAAACTGCAGCGGCTTATTAACGCCACGAATTATTGCTGACTGTGTTATTAACTGCCTTGCATAAGTTTTGTACCATGGTAAATTGAGTAAGATCGGTCACTGATACAGCGTCTATTCTATTGAAAGTTCTTTAATAATATAATTGGTTGCTTTCCGAAAGCAAGAATCAGTGTTTAATCATATGTCTTTTTTCCTCCGCAGGGTATATTCCGTCTAGCGTGTGAGCACGTGTTGCGCACCATGCGACGAGGGCGTGAGACGCTGCTAACGCTGCTGGAGGCGTTTGTGTATGATCCGCTGGTGGAGTGGGGCGGCGCCGCTGGTTCCGCGGGCAAGCGCCGCTGTACCGCGCGCGACGTGCGCGCAGCTCTCGCCATGATGGCGGTGCGCACGCAGGAGCTGGCGCATCACTTCACTGAAGTCACGTGAGTAAACCTATGTAACAACTTTGACTCAACAATCCACGATAAAATAAAAAAAAACGCGCTTCGCTATGCCGTAGTGGTATGATCCGGTTTTTATAAATGTATGTTTAGACTGGCAGTCAATGTGTATATTTATGTACCTACGTCTGCATACTATATTTCTAATCTCACAACAAGTGCGTCTTTACGTATCGTAACGACGCGGCTACACTATGAAAATGTACATACATTTAGTGCGCATTGCTTTGTTACGCCACAACACACGACGCTGTGCGCCTTGCCGGCAGATTTACGCGCCGCAATAAATACAACGCGTTATCTGACGGGATGCTCGTCTTAAAATGCATTTATATAGATTTCTACTAAGGATGAGCCAAACAGACAGAAATAAGCGTAAAGCAGACTTTGATTGCAGTTCATTATATCGTCTACATGCTGTATGCATCAGGTGACCAGTATAATCATTTTGTTTTTAATTCATTGGGTACTATGCGTAATATTTTAATCGTTGTCAATATGTTTGTGGTATTTGTTCAGTTTCGTCGGCTCCGATATCTCACATCCCTATTTATGAAATCAATTTTCAAGTGTATTTATCACTCGGCGTTAAATTGAAAGCACTCTCAATCCGTCGACCGCAATACGTTAAATATATCGAGGCCAGTTGATACCGCGGCTGCCCAATACACGCGAGTACAACAATATTGTTTACTATGAATGAATATTGTTTAATAGTTCACTGAGCTGACTAAACAAACAACGTTATCAACAAATATTCTACGTATATAGATAAAGATGTGACAAGCCGACCGTGTATCGCATATTAAACTGTCAAACACCAAGCGGTCACCGGTGACCGCAACCTATTGTTCTTTAATTGTGTCTATAAATACGGTACTCGACGAGTTAATCGAGTTCACTACAAAACACAAATGATTATATGTTTTGTTGTTCGTGTGATAAATAATTAAAATAAGTAGTTCCGAATGGATTTATCTGGAGCTAGAAGTTTAATTACTTAGTATCCTTGATGAATGGCTGCTACTGTGCACTATTTGTACGTGAACTTCTGATAAAATTCTTACTAGACAATTTGTCACTAGACATGTGTTTTTTATGGGATGAGCCGGTAAACGAGCAGACCGATCACCTGATGGTAAGCAATCGGCGTTGCCTACGGACACCTGGAACACCAGAGGCGTCACAAGTGCGTTACCGGCCTTTTGGGGATTAGGGCTTTGAGGATTGTTAGTGATTCAGGAATTGGAGAGATTGCGGGAGGGACTGGGCCAACGGTAACCTCACTCACACGACGAAACAACGCAAAAAACAAAGGGGAAACAAAAAATAAGTGTGCAAAGATTATCATTACTTTCTCACACAAAATGTCATGTTGTCAACTCAATTCATCGCTCTCGCTGATAAAAACCAAGTTTATAGTTGTCGTGTATTTTGTCTAATGTTTCGCATCAATCTGTGTTGTCTGAAGTTATTTTTTCAAATAAAACAACGTTGTTACTTCCGGTTTCCTCTGAATTATTAATGTTCCGTATCCAATATGCTCCATTAACAATTCATCGTCGCCTGTGAACCGAAAGCTCTCAAAGTCAATTTAATTTTGTTTCAGAGAACAATTCCTAGCTGTTCTGCCCGATATCAAACAGTGTGCTGAGAAGTGGCTGAAAGAAAACGAAGAACTAAAATCAGTAGAGACTCGCTTACAGGACTGCCACCAGCAGATGGCTCTGATTAAGGAAATAGAAGCGTATGGACCAAATCTAAACAGTCACCCATTGTACGCCATCTCTCAGAAGTACTCCTCTTACAAACATGCTAAGAACGCCGTGGAGGACTCGATGAAGGCGTTAGTGAAGATCCTCAACGAATTTGATACTCAGATAGAAAACTTCGCAACCACTACGGAAGCTATCAATGGTCCACAACTAATGGCGTGGGTGCAAGAATTCTCTGGCACCGACGAAGAGGAACAACCAATATTTGAACATATTAAAGACTTCCTTACTAATGCTGGACAGGCAGCCATGATATCGCAGTGCGAACAAGCAGAGACAGAACTGTATCAAAGCATGAAGCAGACCCACCATCTCGTCAGGTCCTGCCTCGAATTACTCTCGCAGTACGTGGCAGTGTCGCAGTACTACCCACAAAGTCACACCGAGTACCACCGCGTGCTCGTGTTTAGGAAATTAGTAGCTGCAGCCCTGGAGAGCAAGTCCCCTGAAGTGTGCCGCGACGTCGCTAACCAAGTGGCAGCCCTGATCAATGCTGAGAACAACAAGAGTGACACATCGCAGCAAATCATTAATTATAACTACCGTCTGCAAAATATGAATGTTGAAGCGAATGCTAATCTGACCAAAGCTATAGAAAGACTGCAGTTGGAAGGGGGCCCCGATGCGCTGGCTTTGGCTCAAGAAGCTTATAGAGAAGCCAAAACTAACATTAGTAACTGGGTGAGGGCGGAGGAAGGCGCGGGAGAGGCGCTGGAGTGTGTTGTCATCGGCATGCTCTGCAACCTGAACAGGAGATACCTCATGCTGGAGAATGGAGCCCAGAGCGCAGGGGATTGTCTCGTGGACTTGACATCTAGAGAGGGAGAGTGGTTCCTGGATGACATGAGCACGTTGTCTATGCAAGCTGTCGAGCTGCTGTCACTACTGCCTTTACAATCCGCGTCGGCTGAGGACGCCGCCATGCCAGTCGCTGTAGAGTGCGTCCGAAACGCGAACCTACTCCTCGCCGACCTGGTACAGCTGAATTACAACTTCAGCACGATTATACTGCCTGAAGCGCTGAAGAAGATACACTCTGAAGATCCGTCTGTGCTATTGATGATCAGTGAGCTGAACGCGGTGATCATGAACTCCCCGGTGCCACTCAACGAGCTGCTATCGCAGTTGGAGCTTCATCTTCGATACCTAGTTATGGATATGGAAGTAAGTTTCATTTGGATATGTAATATATTTTACTTCACTAATACCAATGAATTTCTGTATATTAATTTATCGATTTAACACAGTCTCCAGCGAGCTCGGCACCCCTGCTAGCCGCCGAGGTGCGGTCGCGGTACGAGGCTCTCCTGTCAGCGCCCGTGAGTGAAGCGGATGGCCAGTCCTCCGGCCGCATGTTGTTGATGGGCTTCAACGGACTCTTCGCAGCCGTAGAGCTGCGCGCCAGAGAGTTGGCTGATCACCTCGCGATACCCATCCCTCCCGCCTGGAGGAAGATCGATCATATCAACGAATCAATGCATATGTCGGTGAGTGTACACTTATACAATGCAAATGAGTGAGAAGTTGAAAATGTCGCAGTTTCGTGAACATGTGTCCGATGCAGGCGGCGCTGCAGAGCGCGGCGGTGCGCGCGGTGCTGGAGGACGTGTTCCTGGTGCGGCGCCTGCAGGCCGTGGCCGAGGTGTTCGCCATGTGCGCCCAGATGGCGTGCGCCTTCAAGGGGACCGGCCCGCCCACTCTCTTCGATGATACTGCGCTCTGCAAACCTGTCAGGAGGTAAGGTTACTTTCCATCAAATTGTATTTAATGCTGTACAAGTTATTTGATGTTTATATTACTGATAAATTGATGACTGGAAGTATTTGGAGTGGTGTCTCGGCGCTAGAATTGGTGTAGTTGATGAAATATCATATCCTTTAGTTTATTCATTATAATGTTTATGTTTTCTAGGTTCACGGCAGAGTACGTATCTCGCTGCGTGTTAGGGGTACAGTCGAAGGCACTAGCGAGCGTGCTGTGTCTATTACTGCGTCGCGCCAACCTCGACCTACACGCTGAGGTCGAGCAGAAGGAAATCGGTACGTATATAGTTGTTACGTATTATATAGGTACAATTGTCGGTTTATGGACGAATTTCATAAACGATCTTAATAATTTAAAATTTCTAGATCCTGATCACAAGTTTTTGACAGAAGTATCAAATAATGTAGCGACTATATTTTGTGTGACATTTTTTTAATTATCATGTGTACTGTATCAGGAGCATCGTGGAGCGTATCCCTAGAGTCCCTTTGCGAGAAGGCGCGGCGTCGCGCGGGCGGCGGCGCGGGGCGCGAGCGCGGCGCGGGCTGGCGCGCGCGCTGCAGGCCGCCCGCGGGCGCCTGGCGCGGGCCGCGCGCGCGCACGCCGAGCACGCGCGCCGCGCCGCCGCCGCGCACCGCGCGCGCCTCACGCACGCCGCGCACGCGCAGCTGCACGCCGACCTGCTGGCCGCGGGCCCGCCGGGGCCCGACGCGGGCGCGGCGCTGGCGCGGCGCGGCCGCGACCTGGCCGCCGCAAGGGACAGACTGCTGGCCGCCAGCACCAAGGCACACACCCTGCTCACGTCCGCGCATCAGAGGTGACACACGTTTATTATTACTTTGTATCATAGTATAACTGAGACAACATCCATGCAGCGTCGATGCTAATTAGTAAGTTACGTGACATCGCCGCGACTGTGTACGCTGCTTATAAAAAAAAGCCCCTCTGTGGCTCGAAACTAGTAGAGCTTTAACTTTTACTGTATTCACTCGAGTAACCCATGATTTTTAATTAATTTAGTACGTTTCACGATTATTATTATATAAAATCAAATAATTTAATGTTAAATCATCATCATCATCATCAACAGCCTATAAATGCCCACTGCTGAGCAAAGCCTCTTCTGACACGGAGAAGGTTAGAGCATTAATCACCACGCTTGCTCAATGCGGGTTGGCAATTTCAAACTTATAATTAGAAATTATAAGTTCAGGTTTCCTCACGATGTTTTTCCTTCACCGTTTGTCTGTGGTGTCTAAATAATCTTAGAAAGTACGTATAACTCGGAAAAAGTCACATTGGTACTTGCCGTTGGTAGGTTTCGAACCCGCACCCTCATGCATGAGAAGTAGGCGTCTTAAACCTCCGGGCCACCACGACATAATGTTAAATAAATAAATAAAACTATTAAACTGTAATGAAGTCAGTAATTTTGAAAGTTTTGGAAAGTTATACTTGGACACTGTGAGATTGACTAATGGAGTGCCAATCCTCAAATCCCTAGCAATGTACTTATATGTAATCTCGTGTTGGGGAATGTTAAAGGGCAGTGCCGATTACTTACTAATCTATCTGTTATTTGCTTACAATATTATTGTACATAAATGAAGCTATCCTTATTTTCTTGAATTGTACGAATATGTGTTTGTCCGCAGAGTGAAGTGGGGCGCGGGCGCCAACCCCGCGCTGTCGGGCGTTGCGGCGGCGCTGGCGGGCGCGGGCGCGGCGGCGGGCGCGCGCGCCGCCTCGCTGGGCGCCGCCGCCGCCGCACTGGCCGCGCACGCGCAGCACGCCGCCGCGCTGCGCGGGCCGCGCGCGCCGCGCACCGCCGCGCACCTCGCCGCCGCACTCGCGCACTGGGAGAAGGTACCACGCGCTTATATGTACACGGAGATCTTGCACGTCTGAACTTCTCTACTTGACATTCAAAAAGGCATATTGGAAATTGATTAACAAAACATAATTAATCAATAGCAGACATATGCTGTGCTCTGAAGCAAATACTATTTAGTACTTGTATACCAAATAAAGTAGCAAACTAAATTATATTAGATTAACATACATTTTGACACGCTTCAGTGTCATCTCCATATTTCAAGTGTTGTTCTCTCTTATTAAGCGCTTACACAAGCGCTTTAATGACATTTGTTTATAAACCAAACGTTGCCTCATCAAATAAAAAAGGCACAGATTTAATATTAATACGAAACAAATATCAATCCATTACGAATTCATACCATACGAATTCATAAACAAATATCAATCCATTGTGTTCGTTCAAAAAGTTTGTATCACATAACTATGTATATTTATTTAATCTGTAGTCCATTCGTTTCATTCTACCTTTTACTTTAGTGTCAAATATAATTTCGAAACAACCACAACTTCTTCTTCTCAACTTCTTCGTTGGAAAATCAGTACAAGCAAACTGCAACTTTATCGCCTCAACACATTGTCAATAAAAGAAATTAATTTTTCAATAATATTTTGTGTTTGCAGGCATGTACCCTGGCACAGAAGTACTCACTGAAGGTGTCTCCCGTGGAGGAGTCACTCATGGAGATGTTACATCCGGAGGGAAATATTGATACACAATGGGTGAGTTTTACATACAAAAGTATAACCGCATTTTGGTCTGTACATACTGAACTGTAATTGTTATATAATGTTCGTAGGTGGACAACGTGTCGGCCTTGCTCCGCGAGATGATATCGTCGCTAAGCGCGGAGAGCGCGGCGCTGCGCGCGCGGCTGCGCGGCGCCGGCGAGTCGCTGCGCGGCGGCGCCGAGCGCGCGCAGGCCCCGGCCGCCGCGCGCGCCGCGCTGCTGCACGACGTGCGCGCGCCGCTCGCACTGCTCGCCGCCGCGCACGACGTACGCCCTCTCATACTATATCACTTTCCGCATTCCTCTATTCATCTTTTTTTTATTAATTGACTGCACGGTTGGTGCGGTGACTGGGCAACCGGCTGCCGTGCAACCTGTCGCGGGTTCGATTCCCGCATGGAACAACACTTTGTGTGATCCACATGTGTATGTGAACTTGTATGTTTGTAAACGCACCCACGATACAGGAGATAATCCTAGTGTGGGGCAAAGTTTTTTAAGAAAAGAAAAGAAAAAAGAAAGAAATCTTTACTTCAAGGTTCCATCTTGTAACTACACCAGATAGATTCGCATCTATTGCGATGTGGCGTACAATACTTCGACTAACTTTAGGTCGTAATTTAGTCGGTTGATCCAAATACATATTTTCTTAACACGATCAGACTAACAGCGTACTTCATCATTGTTCTAAACGCTTTCTTCTATTTTGAACATGTTTAAAAAGCCCTCAGTCCATAGTAATGTGACTCCGATGTTACAGGGCAACAACCCGGCGTCCGACTTCCTGTCCCGCGAGAAGACAGTGAGCGAGCACATAGCGGCCCTGGGCGCACTGGGCACAGGCCGCGAGGCCGAGCTGGGCGCGGGGCGCGAGGCCGGGCCGGGCCTGGGCGCGGGGCGCGAGGCCGGGCTGGGCGCGGGGCGCGAGGCCGGGCCGGGCCTGGGCGCGGGGCGCGAGGCCGGGCTGGGCGCGGGGCGCGAGGCCGAGGCGGGCGTGTCGGCGGGGCGGCGCGCGGCGGCGGTGCTGCTGGAGTGCCTGGGCGCGCACCACGACGCGCTGCTACAGTCAGTACACTGCGACATACATACATACTGCTACTTTCAACGTCTACATTACATTTATTTCTTATAGTTTTTGTTCGATAAAAACGACCCTAAAGCTGTCGTTATTTCATCTCCGTGTTCTTGTCCTGTCTAAACATAGCATAACTAAACTTGAAACATTTCTTACATCCCCAGACTTCACAACAACTGGCCATCAGAGGCCAACGGCCGGCGACTGACTCGGCAGGCCGCGCTCGGTGCCGGGGCGAAGCCCGGCGCCGTCAGACAAGGTCAGTACTACACCTTTTTTATGTCAAAGTCAAAGTCAAAATCATTTATTTCAATTAGACTAGGATGGCACTTTTGAACGTCAAACAACAAAAAATTATAAGTGAAGCTAGTTGCTCATTCCAAGGCGTAGATTCCTATGGAGAAGAACGAGCAAGAAACTCCATAGGTTACTCTTTTTCAATCAGGTTTACAATACAATTCTCTAGTTACATAGCTTTATTGGTTCGACCATGTGAGAACAATGCAACACCCAAATCCAGTCAGAAAGACTGAAAAAGAAAATACCTTGAGGACAATAAAACAAAAAGATACAGTCTGGAGCTGACCAGTTCCAATCGACGGTGCCCGTTCACGAACATTTTGCGGACCCTAGCACCGCCCAACTCAACCATTTTGTAGGGAATCGAGCGATCCAATGCACGTGCCACCGCCAACGAGATCTTTGAGTGAGCATGACAACTCCAAGCTGACATAAATGCAATCTACTAGTCTAATTTGATTTAATTATTACAGGGCTCTCACATTTACAATAACTTGTGCAACGTTTTAAACTATACAAATATTTAAGCAACATGATTATATTATTACACAAATAGAATTCATTGAACATCACTGTGTTTCATGTATTATCCTGCGGAGCCGGACCAGCCTGCCTCCAAGCACTTTTATCCTCTATATAATCATTTAGTTTGTAGTATGCTTGTCTACATAACGTTTTTTTAATACATAGTTTAAATTTTCTTTCATTTAGATGCAGTATTTCTTGGGGGATTTTGTTATAACATTTAACACCGAATCCCACGAACGACTTATGTACTTTTGACAATCTAAAAAATGGCGGACTTAATCTATTCTTATGTCTAGTTTCATAATTGTGTCTGTCAGACACTTTACTAAATAAATGTAGGTTTTTCCTAACATACATAATATTTTCATAAATAAATTGACATGGAACGGTCATAATATTGATCTCCCTAAACCTTTCTCTGAGAGATTCGCGACGACCTAGGTTGTATATAGCTCTGACGGCGCGCTTCTGCAAGACAAAGATAGACTCAATGTCAGCAGCGTGTCCCCACAGCAGAATGCCATACGACACGATGCTATAGAAGTAACTGAAGTACACCAGCCTTGCCGTGTCTATATCGGTTAACTGACGGATTTTCCAGACAGCATAAGCTGCAGAGCTTAATCGTCCCGCTAGAGATGTAATATGAGGACCCCATTGTAATTTGTCGTCTACAGTAATTCCCAGGAAAATAGTTTCTTTTACAAATTCCAATTTCTCACTATTCAGTAATATGTCACATTCGTTATTTTTAACGTTTGGCAAAACAAATCTAATGCATTTTGTCTTTTTATCATTCAGCACTAAATTATTTATTGTAAACCAGTTTTGAACCTTCATCAGAGCACCATTTACATCGACATAATTATTTGTACGTCTATTTATTTTAAAAACCAGTGATGTGTCATCAGCAAATAATACCATCTGTGGTTCATTCCGGAATAAATGCGGCAAGTCATTTATATAAGCCAAAAATAGGAAAGGACCTAGTATTGAGCCCTGCGGTACACCCATAGATATGCTAGCACCCTGTGAGTTTACCTTATTTACTTGCACCTTAAGTTGCCTATCCCGAAGGTATGACTTTAATAGATTTAGCGATACCCCTCTAATGCCGTAGTGTTCCAGCTTCAGCAAAAGCGTTTCGTGGTCAACACAGTCAAATGCCTTCGAAAGATCACAGAATATTCCAATTGCATCCTGTGCTTCTTCCCATGAGGCAACAACACGTTTTATTAAAGCTACTCCTGCGTCAGTAGTGCAGCGTCCCTTGGTGAACCCGTATTGTTGATCAAGATTATAAAAGAATCTGTTTATTTTTTATAATTAATATCGTGAGACATACTAAATTAACTAAAATCGTGGGTTACTCACGTGAATATACTGAGACAAGCTCTACTAGTCAGAGGGGTTTTTCCTCATAAGCAGCGTGCGCGGTCGCGGCGACGTCGGGCCGCTCACTGAGAGCTTTCTCAGTATATTCACGTGAGTAACCCGTAATTTTAGTTAGTCTGTTTATTGTTTGTTGCTCATAATACTAGAATTTCAATAATAATGTTGTGTGTATGTTTGCAGGAGGAGAGCGCAACGCAGTGGGAGCTGGCGTGTGGAAGCGAGTGCGGCTGAAGTTGGAGGGACGTGACGACACGCTCGGACGTGACACGCTCGGCGCGCGTGACACACAGGGCGGGCGTGATACGACGGCCGGGCGGGACACGTCGGGCCGCGACACGCCGGGCCCGCGGCGCCTGGCGCTGCACGAGCACGTGGACGCCGTGATACGGGACGCAGTGAGCTGGGGGAACCTGTGCCACATGTACGAGGGCTGGATGGCCTGGGTCTGAGCCCCCCGCCGCCGCCGCCCGCCGCGCCTGCGCCGCCCGGCCCGCGCGCCCGCGGACGTCGCCAGCTCGCGCCCCCGCGCCCCGTAGTGCGCCCCCGCGCCCCGTAGTGCGCCCCGCACTGCGCCCCCCGAGCCCCGCAGCCCGGCCCGCGCCCCGACAAACATCGGTCGCTCAGTTTTGGATCGCGTTTTTACTAGTTTTATCGTTTCGTTCGTTTCGGTCAGCAATGGGCGCTGTCGGCTCGGGCCGCTCTAGGGTAACATTATGGTTTCGGTAGAAGCCGCTCGCTCGCTCGCTCGCGCGGCGCCGGCGACCATGGGCCGGGGGCGGCGCCCGAGGCCGAGTGGGGCGCCGCCCGCCGCGCGAGCTCAGTCTCTCGGCGAAGTGTCACTCGGTGTGTCGGCGACCTCGGCCTGTGCCGGGGCGTCGCTTGTTTCGACCATCGTATTACTAACATGACGCAGTCCTTGACACCCAACTTCTATATAATATTTACAGAAACATAGTTATTACTTCGAGTACGATACCGATCTGGTGTTATTTTCAAGTAAACTTAAGTAAATGTTGTTTGTTATACCCGTGCAATAGCGTGTTTATTTAAATAAACATCTTCAAGTCGAGGCGACAAAATTTTACATTTATGTGACGATATTGGCGTACAAAATTTATTTGTAGCTCGTATATAATACTTTTAATATAAAAAAATAAAAAAAAATCAAAAAAAAATTAAGATAACGACTCGAACAGTGCAGAAGGGAAAATACTGATATATTCATTTTTCTTTCGTAGAAGTAATTCGAACGACGACGTACAACGTGCGACTACTCTGAAGTATCGAGCGCTAGTGCCGCTCTGTGTCTAGGTTTATATTCCACTTACTAGCAGTATACATAGAAAACTGAATACATAGAATTTTTTCTGCACGTCTCTTGCTAGCTTCAATATGAACGTATTCATGTAAACAAACATATATACTGTACTGCAGTATATTCTAACGCATAAATGTATTTTAATGTAGTATTAATTAGTTTACTCATTTCCTGTCTAACTTGCATTTCATTACGAACTAGGCGTCATCCACTTACTGTTGCTATACCAATGTGTTTATCTTTCAGAATTTACTTTCGAATTTTATATCTTCCTTATTGTTTCACACCTTATGTACTGTTCTATAATTTCCTTTTGTAATGTAAGTCACCAAACGTGTTGTAACATCAAATTACTTGTCGAGACTAATACACGTAGGTGGGTGACGCCACGGTAAGATCACTTTTAATTTATACAGAAGGTTATGGAACCACCTTGGTAAATGAAAGAAATCGTTAATGTGTACAACCAATCACTTTACTACCTTACACTCTAAAATTATTCCATGCTACTAGCATTTTACTATTTTGAGTATGTACTATAATTATTGCTGAAAAAATAATAAACATTAATTCATAATTTTCGATCATAAATACAACAAAAGTGTCACTTCAATCTGAAAATGGTGTTTTGTTTCAATAACAATTTTGGAATGATACAATAAATCAGTTGCGTCCACAATCCTGCGCTGATATGTTGTAATTTGTTCAACAGGGAATGAGTATTTAGTAACATAATATATTATATATCGCAACGCATTATGTAACCTTCACGCGCGCCTGTGTGTGTGGGAGCAAGCAGAGCCACTATGGCCGAGTGTTTGTAACGGTGGATGCATTACGTAACACTAATTAATGTCGCATCTTCATGTAATATTCTACCTAGCAGACATTTATCTAGTAAGTGTTAGATATTTGTCTCTGTATCGGACGATAGTATTGTAGTAACGCGAATGATATGTACCCGGCTCTATAGTTATAAGTAAATTAGATGTGTAAACTACAAGTTCACAGCAATCTCTGGTCGTTTGGTAGTAAATAGACACTCATAGAGTAGTTGGATATCAATAACAGTGGATGTTATATACCGATACGTGCGTATTATGTAACCGTGTGGCATGTAATCGTCCCCATCATAACGTTAATGTACCATGTCTATTGTCTACCTGCTATCTAGTCTCCTGTCTGGACCGTAGCAATGCATCCATCGATTTCTGTTTGTATCGCTTCATATTAAAATAAATGGTGTATGTAGCAAACTATGTTTTATTTCCTTATTTTTTATTAACTACCTTAACAGTTCGTTACTTCCCTTTTAAAATTTTCATTTTGTCTAATAATAGGTCTTTACCCGTCCTTAATATGTTTATGAGCTATTTTACAAGTTCCCTCTTGCCGTATTGTATGATTTTTTTTTAACGTTGCCCCACACTAGGATTTTCTCCTGTGTCGTGGGTGCTTTTACAAACATACAAGTTCACATACACAATGACACCCAGACCCAAAACAACAATTTGTGGATCACACAAAGTGTTATCTCGTGCGGGAATCGAACCCGCGACACGTTGCACGGCAGCCAGTTGCCCAGCCACCGCACCAACCGTGCAGTCAATTAAACGAATGACTCTGGTGTTGCACGGACACCCATGGGCGGCGCTGATCGCTTACCATTAGGTGATACGTCTGCTCGTTTGCGTCCTATTCTATAAAAAAGCCTTGCAATCAATGCATCTTTGCCAACACAGTGGCAGATTTTTGATGCCCTTCTTAAAGAAATCAGCTGGACGGAATACAACAAATTCTTCAAGGCAGTTTGTACTGCCTCTCGGGTATTTTTTTTTTAATTTTTTTTTAAGGGCGGAAAATCATCGAATGACTGCTCCCGCCTGGGTGAGGCGGAAGGGAGTGTCAGACTTACTGACTAAAAACCACCCCGTTCCTTCTCCTGCACGTCGAGCCGGAGCCCCGGTTACCCGTTAGGTTCTCCGCGACCGTTAGGTTCTCCGCGACGGATTTTTCCCGCCAAGAAGTTATCCCAATTTTGAGAAAAGTAGTAGTCTGGCTGTTGGCGAATGATGGAGAGCTACGAACCCCCAGGTTTTTGCAACTTGAAGACCGGTACAGGAGCAGCGGAAACGAGCGATTGACCAATGCTAGTTGTGTTCAGTGCTTCACAGTAAACATCTGCAGTAATGCTACCCCCCGTTCAGTAAGGAACTTTTCTAGGGGTACATTTTCGTGTAGGACACTGTTAAGGTACTGAACCAGGATCCAACCATTTGCTGAGCGCTTGCGCTTATTAAACGGAATCCATTTTTCATAGCAGGTAACAAAGCGGTTTAAAATTCCTTCATTTGTGTGGCTATTGAGCAGTGCAAGGCATGTCTCGACACGTACTTCGCGCTGGCGATCATTGAATTCGTGGGCGTGGGGCACCCATTTGTCAAGTTTTTTTACCTTGCCAATTTGACGTAAATGGACCAATATTGTTTTGACACTAGCGTCGAAAGCTGCTGCCAATTCAGCCGTAGGTTGTGTATCCAATGTCTTCGGACGACCGTGAGGTCTATTTTTCAGGTCGATATTTCCAGAACGGAAACGAGTAGCAACAATCAGGCATTCTGTGTTAATGGGTAGGTATCAAGGAAGGAAGAAAGGAAATTGCACTTAATTAAAATTCTCTTAGATAATTGGCAGTTTATTTATTTACACAATAATAGATAACAATGACCACATGAACATGAAATACGAAGGAACTTAAATATTGTATCAATTTGAACTCGATTCATAAGATGAGGGATGCGCAAATAAAATATATATTTATTAAAATATAACTCAATGCAGTACAGCAGACATTTGTCATTTAAAAATCAAAACTACAAAACAAAATTAACATTGACATGTTAAAACACGTATCTTTTAAGTACTAGGCGACTCGTGCAAAGTAGCACTTGGGTTAAGTATACCGCTGCGGTGTCGAGAAGTAAGAGAAACCTTAACATACGAATAAACAAACAACTTTGCAGTCCAACCACAACCCCTGCGAATGTACAGAATTAATTTAAATAACCGGCTCACTGCAGCAGTCGACTATAGGCTGCGTGACGACTTTGTTTTACGTTTAACGAGATCGAAACAAGACCGCGATCAGCACTCTGATTGGCCGGCACCAATTAACCCACCAAGCCCTCTGCTCTGACTTGAAACTACAGACCTTTTCTAGTAAACTGTATTGTTTATCAATTGATTTTACAAAAAAAAAAACCAAAAAATACATAGTACCAACTGTCTGCTGTCCTCCACTTATCTCGCAGTACTCTATCATCACGCCCTGCTCCCCGTAGCTAAAGTAATCAGCAGAGTAGTGTACTCTGCGATCTCACAGCATATCGCTCGATATTGACCAATTACCTCAGGAAGACAGATAACAAATCACTGGGAATTTACAAAAACGTATAACTTTTGAGTATTGTATAAACATGTAGAGGTAGAGGTATCTACGCACAGCCATTTTGAGTAAGTTCCAAATAAGTGTTGAGTATTGTGAGCTTCATAAATCTGTCATTTTAATATTTATACAATATTTGCTTGTCTTCCTCCTTGCACACGTCACATACAATTTGAAACTACATAGCACAATAACACAGGTCGACACTCCGTCGCCTCAACCTAATCTTATCATAATAGTGCTTCCTTATAGTCCCAGTTCAAGGGTTCTCCCGTCACAACTTTCTGGCATTTTTTGAGATTGAAGACCTCACAGTAACCAGACTTTCATGCTCTATAGTCGGGACCATAAGGTTTATTTTAAAATTATGATAAAATCCTTCTAACCCTCGGCAACAGTCAACACACTTTTCTATATACAAATAATAACTATATGTAATATATAATAATATTATATACTGTACAAATAATAACATCTACCTATGTGCAGTAATAAACTCATGTTACACTTTCAATAATATACTTTTAAATATTTCATAGACAACATTTAGAGACCAATATAATAATATGACAAGATTGAAATACAAAAGGAACGTCCAACGTTTGGCAAATACAATATTATATCAAGACGGAAGCGAAATATTTATAGAAGAAATCACACACGCGATTTATTAAATCCTAAATATAATTTAATTTATAGAACCCCTCTAGTAGCGCCATCTATATTTTATTATCACTAAGTATTTAACCAGATAAGTTGCCGCTTTATATTTTAGCGTTATGACTAAGATTATCATTAAAATACTTTACCCACACAATACAGTGTGTCTGTACGGTTAAGCACAAAACACATGCCCCATAGCCCGCAGTGAAAGATGTCAGGATACTACCTACTACAGATGATAAATGATGATAACAATGATTACCTAACAACATCGCAATTATATTTCCATTAATTGCGGATCATAAATATTTTTCTGGAACTAACATGTGATGACTTTTTTATTCCGCAATAATTATTGATTTAAAAATCTAGCGCTATATTTTCTTTCATTTTTCTAATCTATGACACGTATTGCTAGTTAACTTCAAGCTACAAAATGATTAGTAGCAAGTATACTAACAGTAACACTTGTATGTCATAGTACTGTTAGTTCGGTATATTTTTGCGTGTAACATATTGTAAAAACAAGTCTTTCCTGTGTGATAATAATAATTTTAAGACAATATTCACTCTCGTATAATTTGAATATTCTATGAACAATAGACTGTATAATTATAGAATTTAAACTCGAATAAAGCTGCTATCTCAATCACTATCCTCCAAGTAAGGACAGTAACGATCGATTATATTATCTATTGCCTGAACATAGTTATATATTGGCGGGATGTTGTGTTTCATGGCCGAAATTAATGACCAACTTCTAAGTAATGGCCCAAAGTCGATCTAAATTCTACATTTTGAGATTGAGATGTAGACTATAGGACTTAAGGGATGAATAAATACAAAAGAGGGGTGAACACATATTGGAAAACTGTTATAGTATCTATAGACCCCTCTACTGTATACATTCACCCCTCGAGTTTTACTGACCACATTTTACCGTTAGGATTTTAATTTCGGCCGTTAACAGACATTACTAATTAGACATTTAGACAGACGACGGTTTCTGTATACCGCAGGGGTTTGCCAGACACCAGCACGTATGTGACAGATGTAGCTGGCTGGGCCTGGCAGGTCCGTGTCTGAGCGCGTGCTATCGCCTCTGTTTGAGTGCGATGAGTTCGTCGAGCTGTGCCTTGTAGAGCTGCGTGACGTCCTGCAGGTCCAGACGTAGCTCCGCCATCTGTTCCTCCTTCTCGCCGTACATTTGGAGGAGTGCATCGTATTGCTCTTGTACCGCCTGTAAGTAGTATTGTAGAGATTAGATGACGATAGAAGTAATTGTGCAAACTTAATATCAAGATTACTTTGTTTGTTGTTATAATTAATCAGGTTACTAGTTCACTTGGTTCATCTCTCCGGCGGGATGGATTTTAAAAGCGTAACATAATAATATGGGACGCTTATAATTTTCTAACTTAACACGTTGATACTTCTCTACTGATCTAGACACCACTGACCAACGGTAAAGGAAAACATCGTGAGGAACTTGGGTTTATAATTTTTAATAATAAGTTTGTAATCACCAGCCCATATTGAACAAGCGTGGTTATTTAATGCTCAAACTTTGTCCGTGCGAGAAGAAGCCTTTGGTCAGCCGTGGCCGCTTATAGGCTGTTGATGATGATGACGTTGATACTTTACATCTTATAGATTATTCAAATCATTGGAATAATAGATACCGTGACAGTCAGGTTTTTGTGACTTTCCATCTATCCAGCAGCTGTAGCCAAATGCCATTTAGCGTTTGTCTACTTGTAGAGTAGAAAACCAAATTATATGGAATTGACGTAAATTTTGACACTTGTCAGTGTCATCCCCGTACATTTAGTTTTCTACTTTCTCTGTAGACAAGTGCTAAAGTGGCGTTTGGCTAAAGGCGCAGAGTTCCATCTAATAACGGTTAGTGAATCTGGTGTATCTCGAATTGTTTGATTGTATGTGGTAGGTACATTCCCATGTCATACAGTAGACATACATGCATGTCGTCGAGCGCGGCCTGGCAGGCGGCGAGGCTGGTGGCGAGCTGGTCCCGGTCGTGCAGCAGACCGTCGCGGTGCGCGGCGAGGGCGCGCAGCTCGGCGTCGCGCCGCCGCACCGCCGACAGCGCCTCCTCCACGCACAGCGCGCTGCCCGACACCGCGCGCGGCGCCGCGCCGCCCTCCTCCTGCATCACTCACAGTTGATAAAGTTCAATAAATAGAAAGATGATGAGATCAACTTGAGTTAAAAACATTGACATAACTACAGAGTGGCAAGTCGACAATATGCCTCGGTTCCCCAGCTGGAAGGAACCTCGTTAATAGGTTTTTATCTGAACTTCTCTGTTTGAATGAGTGGTGATTGGTATTGGTACTGTTGATTAATCATATATCATGCAAATACTTTAACACTTCATTTATTGTAAGAAATATTCATTATAGTAAAGACAGACAATGAAGAACACATATTATTATACAGAATAGTATATACGTACAGAGTGCCAGAAGGAAGCTGACAGAGAGTCCGAAGTAATAGACTGCGAAGGAGACACCTCGCCACCGCGACTCGATTGCTCCTGGAAAGTTAAACATATATTAGAAAACAGGGCTTTATCATTTTTCATAATATTCTTTGTCTTGATATACATAAACATAATAATTTTGATATAATCTTAAGCATTCATTGATTTTGTTTTGGCAATTTTTAATTCGCATAATATCATTAAGTGTAATGACATTAGCATAACAATACATATTAAGACACACAATTAATAGAAAAAAGGAAATAACCAACATGCAACAGAATCCAACCACTGTAAAGGTCTTGTCTGCTTACCCCCAGGTGGGTATATATTTAACTAAGAACATTAAGTTCGCGTGTCTGTGCACGTTGTATGTGTCGTGTGTCGGTGTATGTATAGTGCATGTCTGAAGCCTGCAGTACCTGCAGTATGGCGGCCCGGTGTCTCTCCGCCTGCAACGCCTCGCTCTGCTCCTGCAGCTGCAGCTCCAGCTGTTCCAGGCGCTGCTGCAGCTGCGACTGCTGCTGCAAATGGGACGATCGTTCGCTTTCCAACTCCTCATTCTTCCTGTTGATTAGAAATAAAATTATATAAGAGTCAAATGTTGGCCGGTTTATTGAGGCGCCCACCCAATTGATATTTAAAGGTCATTGTGAGACGTTGTAAGACAAGATATAAAGTTAACTTACTTGGCAATCTGTTCCTCGAGCTGCTGTATGTCCTGTTGATGTCGCAGGTCCCGCTGGGCCAGCTCCTTCAGTTGGCGAGCGTGTTCCTGTCCCTGCAGGTCCAGCTCGGCCAGCCTGGCCTGCAGGGCGGCAGTCTCGTCCCGCGACAGTTGGTCCCGCTCCACGGCCGCCGCCAGGGCACGCTCCACCTCCGCTGTGTATAGGAACATTTTTACTCATATAACCTTTTCGTGATAAATTAAGTACGTTCGAGTTGAAAATATCGTGCAGCTGCCATCTTGGATTTATATTTTGCCAGTACCATCGGTTTTACCACCCACGAAAACCATGAAAACGACACCCCTAACGAAATGTTGTCAATTTTGTGCATCCGCCATCTTGGATTTAAATTTTGACATTACCATCTGATTTAGCATCCTCGAAAACCATGAAAACGACACCCATGACATTTGGATTTCTATTTTCACAACACTATCAGTTTTATTACCCTTGAAAATATTGAGAACAACACCCAATAAGAAAACAATATTATTACGTCCAGAAGCGCCGCCGTTAAATTTTGTAACTATAAATTGGGTATAATGAACACTCCGTTACATTACGGCTAGCTATATTAAATAACGCATAGCTCCGAAAACTATCTGGCTGATTTTGGCTCAGTCGTATTCAATTCGGCTAATCGTTCAGCCGTTGCATTACAAAGCGCAGCTGGTTTGCTAACCGGCTAGCCGACATGTAATACGGATTATACAACCCCCCGCGCATACTGACCGAGGCGCAGCGCGCGCTGGCGCAGCGCGTGCGCGTGCGCGCGCTCGCGGTCCAGCGCCGCCGCCTGCAGCTGGGCCAGCTGCGCCAGGACGGCCCCCGCCCCCGCCCCCGCGCCCTCGTCGCCCCCCGCGCGGCCCTCCAGCACGCTGCACGCCTCGCGGGCCTCCTGCAGCTCGCGGCGGAGACCTTCTTCCCGGGCCACCCACTTCTTTTCCTCTGTAATAATCATCATTATTATCATTAGCATGTTCACTAATAGATATACATCTTTTTTAAAACTACAACAGACGTCAAATTCAAAAAGTCAATTTAATGATTGCCACAAACAAAATAATCCTTTCCGGAGAAAGGACGGAGAACCTTACTGAAACGTTAGTGGCTCAGTTCCACCATAGCAAATGTCTAAACACCTCCCCAACCCCCAAAAGGTAACACACTTATAACTCTTCATCCAAACGAATCGCCTAACCCTACGCCTACCTGTCCCAAAAGTAAGTCAATGAAACATATCCAGACCAGCTCTCCTGTCCTCCCTGAGCTGCGCGAGCTCGGTGCGCAGACGGTGCAGGTCCCGCTCGGCCCGGCGCGCCTCGCCGTGCGCCTGGTGCGCGGCGGTGGCGCGGCGGCTGAGGTCCGCGCTGGCCCGCTGCAGGTCGGCCAGCTCGCGGCGCGCGCCCTCCAGCGACGTGCGACTGCCCTCCAACTTGTGCTGCGTGTCGTCTAGCTGACTTCGCGTCTACACAATTACATTCAATTTTATTACAATCTTTGTGTTTTGTCATTATCAAATGAGCTCGCAAAGATGACTCAAACAAAATGCAAAGGACTAAAATTTTACATTACTTAGATAGAAGGGGCATACCCCTTTTTTACCCGACTGCCAAAGAAGGAGGGTAATGTTTTTCGAGTGTATGTAAGTATGTATGTATGTCTTTTCCTTTGTGACCTCCTGTAGCCTAAACGGCTTGATGGATTTTGATGTATGAGGTATCGTTAGATTTGTCTTGATTACGGGAGTGTCATAGGATACATTTTATCCTAAAAGTCCCACGGGATAAAGACATAATAATATTTTTTCTAAATTTCCCTTTAAAAAAATATGTATGCGGTATCATTAGATTCATTTCAATCACGGGAGTAATTAATATAGGATACGTTTTTTCTTTTTTTTTCCACGGGAACATGTTAATTCTGCGTCAACGCAAAGCAACTCATGCGTTAGCAAGCAAAAAGATAGGGCGTGGCCTGGCATGCGGCGCGCGGCGCGGTGCGGAGGGGGATATGCTCGAGTATACAGCCCGATTGCGGGCACACGCATGAGGGCACACGTCGTTGACGGTCGTCTCTAAATAGCGATTTTTTCGATACTTCGTCGTCTGACGCGAAACTTATAAAGTATAAATAACTCGTTCTTTTTTTTTACCCGACTGCCAAAGAAGGTTATGTCGTCGAAATAATTTAAAATGGTACTTACATATACATAGTCTTCTACATCTACAACATTTTCGTTAAATAAAAACAGCTAAAAAGTTATAAATAAAAAAATTATTATTAAAAAAACAAAATACCCGACTGCACACTAAAAAAAGAGTAAAACAAGCCCCACAATAATATTGATCAATCAAATGCTAAAAACTAATTATGTAATACCGTTTAAACAATACCTATATTAAAATACACTACAATATGTGTTCGTAATCGATAGTTAAATAAACAGAAACTTATTTTGAATACAAATTTACTGAATATAATTTATAAATGTTGATGGAAAGCATCGCAGGCGGGGACCACCTTGACCGCCACCAACGAAAATTCTGCTAAATGGTGCACAACCGAAATGACTATAAATAAGCCTCTGTTGGTCCCCGCCTGCGATGCTTTCCATCAACATTTATAAATTATATTCAGTAAATTTGTATTCAAAATAAGTTTCTGTTTATTTAACTATCGATTACGAACACATATTGTAGTGTATTTTAATATAGGTATTGTTTAAACGGTATTACATAATTAGTTTTTAGCATTTGATTGATCAATATTATTGTGGGGCTTGTTTTACTCTTTTTTTAGTGTGCAGTCGGGTATTTTGTTTTTTTAATAATAATTTTTATTTCTATACTACAATAAAAATCATGTAATGTGTTTATGTAATTTTATTGTGTAATTGTATAGAATGGCAAATCTTAGCCAAATAATCCAAGGAACTTCGACAACTAAAAAGTAAAAACCGTTGGTTGTTCAAAATATGTAGTCAAAAATATTGCTCATGAAAAATTATAGTGTAAATTTTAAAACATGAGCATGCATAGGCATGTTTACAACACAATATATAGTTAGATGCCGGCCGCCGCGTCGCGTTACGCTATTGATAACGAATCCTGCGCGCGCGATAAGCAACACATAAAATGAAGGCATATAGCTCACAATGGATATTTTATAACCATATGCAGTTATGTCCTCATAACTCACATACCTCACTGTATGGTGGATGCAATTGGAATTCTCTAATGTCTCTATAATTCTCAACGGATGTACGGAGTATTAAATCGTATTTCATAATATAACGCCATACAATCTCGTCCCGAAGACTTGAAGGGATAAGCAGCGGCCTACATTTTACCAGTTGTGTGTTACACAAAGAATAATTTAATTTTCTAACTATTAATCGTAAACAACACTCACCTCCATAAGCTCAGTCTCTAGTTTCTTGTTGGCAGTGGTAAGCCGGTACACAGCTTCAATTTGGCTGACTTCCAGCTCCTCCTTAGCTGCTATAGACCGCTTCAGCCTATCTAACTCTGCTGACTGCTCAGCTATTTTATCTCTGAAAAGTTTAACAATAATATCAGACTATATGCAACCACATATTTAGCTATTACATATATCAACTTTTATTAATGCATTGCAATATCTCATCACCAGTCCGAAAATGTCTAATACTAAACAATTATTGATTTAAGTTTAAGACATATCTAGGTCCATTTAAGTATAAAACATTTTCTTAATTTAACCTGTTGTCAACAACACACAAAGCCAGTTAGTTGCATGTGCTAGTGTTTGTAAAACATTTTCAATTATTTACCTCAATCCCTTGATGACTTGTTCATTGTCCTTCTCTTTGGCCCTCAGCTTCTTGATGATATTGGAGTGCTGCAACTGCTGTCGCGCCAGCTTCTCCCCTTCTTCCTGCAGCTGAGCTATCACCTCATCCTTCTCCTTGAGTGTATTCTCCAGCTCCGAGGAGTTCTTGCGTGAAGACGATTCAGACTTCACCTGGTCCAGTTGTTTTCGCAGCTGATCCTATGGAAACATTTTAAAAACTTAATGAAACCTGAACCCACTATATGTGTATGAGTCATAGTACCAGTTACACTTTTATCATTGTAATGATACAAACAATATTTAAAAGCTTTGTTTTGTGTCCACACATGTTATTGTAACCACATTTTATTATTAATCTGAAATCTGTTGTTTATCAAAGTAATCAGTATTGTAAATTAATAAATAATTGACTCAAGGTTTTACACAGGCTAAAAATATGTTTATCTATGTTATTGGGGCAACACATAATACGCACTCATTCATTCCTTTAAGATGGTTGACAAAGGGCTATATATATCCCATACTTACGAAAACCATACTCAGTTTGGGAATGCTAAGAAGTATTTGTAAGATAAATAAATAAATGGTCAAACCTTTTCCCTGATTGCTTGTTGAAACTTCTTCTCCAGGGCTGACATTCTCTGTGTGTAATCTTCTGTGATAGTATTAATATCACCTCCCTCATGCTTTAACATCAATGACTCCACTTGGCTCTTCAAGTCAGCATTGTTTTCTGCCAAGTCTGCATTATTCCTACTCATTTCCAACAGTCTGTTTTCTCTTGCTTCTAATAGCTCTGCCATTTCACAAAGCCTCCTCATCAGTCTCTCATTCTCTGAGCCCTGGCTCTCATCACTCGTGTTACTCTGCACAGATGCCTCAGATAGCTCTCTGTTATGTCCCCTTATCTTTGTGGCTAAGGATTTACCTAACACTAGATCCACCAAGTTTGGGGAAGTCGTGCCATCAAACTTTGACTGTTTAAAAGCATATTTAGCAGGACTGTTCCTAAAGCCATGACCATCTCCATTAGGACTAGGAATTATTTCAATATCTGAAGAAGTAGCTGTTTCTAGCTCGTCTCCAGATGTGTGACCTGATGTCCGGTCGGACCCTATCTTGACCAAGTCACTTTTACTATCTGAGCTTATTGGAGAAGTCCTTTCCTTAACACTGCCATCTTTCTGAGAAGAGCTACTACTAGATTCATTGCACTGCTGTTTCTCAACATTGACAAATGCAGAACTTTCAGATCTCAGCATGTCACTGGAAACATTCACATTGTAGAATGATGACGAGTCACTTAATTTCTCAATGAGAACATCCTCCTGCTCTTTCTTCTGGTCTTCTGCAGTCATGTCCAAGTTAATACTGTCACCATCAGCATTTAAAGTTCTATCTGACCAAGAACCGTCATTAGAAGAATTCTCACTCAATTGCATTCTTTGTGGGACTAAGGCTTGCTCTAAATGCATCAATTCTTTTTCTATGACTTTTCTGCTTGCATCAGTTTTAATTACTTTTGTGAAAGGGCTTACAGATTTGTCATCAGTGTCCAGCACTGTGGGTGCAGTGCACTCAGATATGGAGTTGTAGGATATGGTGTCTTCATCATCATCAGCTACTAAACTAACACTGTCAGCAGTGTCTACTTTTTCAGTCTTGTCACCTACTGGAGTAGACTTTTTGTCACTGTTATCTCCATGAGACACACAGAGAGATGATGAATTGCTATTTTTTTCACTAGAATAACTATCAAAACCAAGGCACTCTATTGAGCTAGAGCTCACCAGACTATCAGGTAATATTTCTACAGACTCCGAGTTATGTTTCTGTCCAGTGCTACTGCTGCGAGACATGGAATGCACTGAAGCCTCAGAGTCAGGTGTAGTCTTTAAGCTTTGGACAAGACTTCTACAGAATCGGAACTATTCCTGCTTGAGACAAGTGACAGTCTGTGAGACTTTGCTGAATCACGTCTCTCATCAGCTTTTGGGAGTTCATCTTTCAGAGATTTGGTTATTCTGTGATCTAATGCTTCACTGTCAGACATAATGAGCTGACTTTTAGAGAACAAATCATCCTGGCTACCATATTTATTGTCAGCAATAACATTCATAGACTTAGCTTTCGGAGGTCTCACGATAGTGGATTCTTCGTCCTTAGGTTGCTCAAAGAAAGAGCCCGCAAACGAGCCCCAAATGCTCTGTGACGTGGACTTAGACGGACTCTCTGTTACGACGGGCTGTTCCTTGATCGGAGTATTCTGTTCGCTCTCCGCACTCACTGTTAAACCCCACGACGAAAAGAAATCTGAGTTGTCTTTCTGAGAAGTGTTGCTGTGACCTGGAGACGACTTGGCACTGGTCTGTGGCGTCGCCTCCTCTTCTGGCTCATCTCCACTTTCATCCTGGATGTCGAGCGCCTTGTCAATAGTTTTCTGCGCTTCTTTCAGCGCATTCTTAGCAAGGCTCGTAAGGCCTGACGTGTCGAACCAATTCATTGTGTCGGTACATTAGACAAAACACAGTAGAAATCACAGCTTATTCATAACACTGAATAACGTTTTACTATCACCCTTAGAACTGATTCAATAACGTGATTGTTTTGAGATTATCCATGGAAATACACTTCAACTAATCACAACAAACCAGGTGACGTTTCCATTTTGTTTATGTATTTCACGAAAGAATTTGCAATTGTCAAATTATTTTTATGATTTTTTTATAATGAAATGTCTTGTTACGCTGGAAGAATTTAAAATTTTACAAATTAAACAATAATTTTCTAGTCGGAAGAGTGCCACGAAAAGTATGTGAACGACTGATTTGACGTTTGATAATGGCAAAAAAGAACATCATTTGACTTTGGCAGTGATCTAGATATAGAGCCGGTTTTTCGCCTACTTTGACATAGCTCCAGTGGCGCAATTGGTTAGCGCACGGTACTTATAAGACAGTAGACGTGTGAGTAATGCCGGGGTTGTGAGTTCGAGCCTCACCTGGAGCAATACTTTTTGATGCATTTTACTGTGTCTAGTTATTTGGAAAATGTATTTTAATAATTTACGTCCCTTTATATGATTTTCTAACCATGTTTAATTTTAATTTGAAGTTTTCTAATGAATTTTATTCTTACACATTGGTTTTCTCTAGACAGCAATTTTCTCAGTAAGTCACTGATAACTTCAACACAAGATAATTACTTCATAGAAACCATTACAATTATTATTTATATTTGTTGGCCTGACTACCTATTTTCTAGTACTGTGAAATCTCAGTAGGGAGGGACCAACTTTTTCCTCAGTCCTACCAGAGTGATGTAGTGCGTAACAAATAAAACAATTATGACACATTATTTACCATAGTTTATTATCTTAAAATAACTACATACTTATTTATATAGAAGAATATAGTGAGATGGTGACAAATAAATGAATAAACATTATTGTAAATTTATTTATCTTTTTACGTCAATGTTTTTATAGGTATTTTCTAGGTATATCATTTAGGTAGGTAACAGTTTTTTGAGAGGCACTAAAGCAGTAAAACTTATAAAGATAAAAGTACTTACTATTGTTTAAACTCTACCTGCTATAATACTTTTTAAATTAATTTATTACAGGGTTGTTTATTTCACATAAATATTTAATCAGTTGAATTCAGTTTGCCAAAGCACGATATAATCTATTCTTGGTACACTGAAATCAATAGAATAGAAAATAAGTATAAACTTTAGGTGCAGTATGCATTGATAAGCTAATATTTTCAGTTTAAAATCCAATTAGCATTTAACATTAACAACATGTGTCGTTATAGTTTCGGATTCATGATGCATAAAGTCGAATCTCCCAATTGTGCTGTGTGTGATGTTGTAGAGGACGTGCAACACATTTTGTATGAGTGTCGACGTACCTATTGAGTCTCAGAGGTATCAGGTCTATAGTTTTAAGAGCTTTAACATTGGTTTTAATCACAATGTTTTAGCGTCACCATTGTCATCTGAGGTGTTTAAGCTTAGGGGCTAGTCCGCTAGTTAAATCTATAAACGGTTTAGCTGCTTTATTTTGTGTATTGATTTTTGTATCCTATAATAGGGCTGACGTTTTCCTATTAGGAAAAAAGCCGTTCTTATTAATTAAACATAAAAAAACCATGTTTCATTGTTAAAAAATATGGGGCTCTTGTCGATATTCATAATAATACGACTTTTATAACAATAAAACAAGCAAACTTCTGGTTGTTGATAATCAAGCACATTTTATTATTCCACAGGTATAAATAACGTTGCATTGATAATACACATTGGATTTATAAAGTGAAAATAAATTAGGTATGTTTAATAGGTAAATAGTTGGATAATTTTCAGTTTTCTTTATTACAAAATCGAATTATAAATAGATTTAAACACCATTCATATCCTATTGTGATAAAAATAGAATTTAATAATAAACTGAAACGCGACTTTCATTTTAGCAAAATACAAGTTATTAAAATAATTGTAATGCTAAAATAAAATAATTTAACCAATAGATTGACTGAAAATGTATTGACTATGATATTTTTTAAATTCGTGATTGTGTAATAAATAAGTTTCTACATATACATAAAATATTAGTGTATTGCATTACTTTTCTGTACAGAAGATCTGATTATAAATAATTTGATAAATAAACAAATAAAGTTCACCTAAAGAACTGCCAACATTTTGTTTTGAAAATCATATCACAAAGGTATATTTAATAATTATATTACGTGTCTATTTTATAATGACTATAAATAGAATAAGTACTAAGACTGCACACAATGATTTCTGGGAATAAAATTAAAATTTAAGAAAGAAGATTAAATAAGAATGTTTATATTGGCGACTCGTGTAGATAGAGATCGACATTAGAATTAATATTTTCCAACCACACTAGTTGTAATGACAAATATTTATACAAGTGTTGGCTTATGAATGCACAGTGTTACATTGAAAACAAATAACTTGTTACTCAAGCCACAAATATTAGCACAATATGATTGTGTCCTCTAACAACCATATAAGACAATCATTGCATTACCCACAACACATGTGCCTGTGTGAATATACCGATTTTTTTGAAAAACTGTCAGCACAAAAAGCGAAAATGCATTTTGGTATGCAGTTATTGATGATTTTAAAAAATTGTAACCAATCAAATTAAATTAGTTTTAAACATATTTTAGTTCATCAAAATGTATTTTCATCTCAAAACAAGAGATATAGTTGTACCATTGTGCACAAGTCTATTGGAACTAAATAATATTTATAATGTATGTTACACAACCCCCGTGTTACCAGTAGTAGGGGGAGCTGGCTGTGAGAACATGAAGGTGCTCGCATTCTGGAATATTTGCTTCTTCACAAACTCTGTGGTGGCAGATTTAAGGTTCTCCTTGGCTCCGAACTTGCACTTAATGTAGCCATACAGGTTGGCTCCTGTCAGGGTTAGTGCGATGAGGACCAGTAGCTGAGGATCAGAGTAGATGCCATTATTGCAAGAGACACATACATTTGGTTGAGTTTATGTCACTATTAATAATATTTTGTAAAGTAAAGCAAAGATTACAGATTAATTGACATAAATGTTTGAACTTTGAATTTTTTGTCATTTTTCAATTGGATATGGGACATGCCATGGCATTAAAACACATAGATTAATTAATTGAAATTTAGTTTTTATTTTAAGGGACACTAGCATCACGACATTAGTGTGTGTCATACCTAACTATTGTGAGTAGAATTAGTGTAAGTGTAACAATGGTTCTGGTAAAAATTACCAGAAGTATAACATTAATCATTGCGGTTAATCACTGCTGTTAATGACAAAGCCATGTTTTCGATCCTTATCTGATAAAAGTATTTTTTAAATTGTGTTGTTAGTGTTTCTAGTAAAAAATAATGTGTCCATACATATTATGTAGAGAAAAACTATTTCGTCAATAATAATATTTATAACAACATACCATCCACTTGAATTTAAGTCCAAACAAACAGAAGATGAAGAAAGTTGACCAGATAGCTGGGCAGAGGATCAGACCCATCCAGAACAGTCGGCTCTCATTCTGGTTCACTCGATTCTGGAATGTAAAACACACATAAATTAGATTTAGTTTAGTTGAAATATAATTTCACAAAATGTTAGTAAAGCATGCAGTCCTACGGTATTAGTGTAATATATTCAAAACACTCACATTTACCTGTTTTGTCTCAAACACCCAATGTGATTTGCCATCATCATCTACATAGTTCCACCATCGCAACCCAACTAATAGGCGCCCTGAAATAATAATAATTGAAATTAAAAACCCAGAATGCCTTGATTTAGTGTTTCAAGCATTAAATATCATACTTTCAGACTGCAAAGTCCTTGAACCAAGTTTCTAGTACTTTTAGTTTTCCAACCTGACTGTCAAGCATGGAGGCCCGTTTTAAGTAGAGGAGACCCATTATGCAGTCCAGCATTGGACCTGTCACAGGCTATTAATGAAAATAATAATAATACAGTTGAAACAAGACCTACCACTAATATTCTTGACAGTCCAGAAGTCAGCAGACAGTAACAGGACAACTAGCACAAAGCTGGCAATGAAGGAGTCGGAGAACCAGCCGCACAGCATGTACACCACTATAGCGGAGCATCGGAACACTAGGTGGAAGAATACTATGTAAGGGTGCCTGGAAAATACGAGTTATACCGTTATTAAACTCCAAGAAAACAACATACATGTCATTAGATAATATACTATACAATTTAGTAGTCTAGCTGGACATAACAAGTAAAATACTGACATCCTGTTTCTGTTCTCATAAAAGCCTCAACCTCCTAAACAAAGTAGACAAAGAATTGCGTCAGAGAGCATCATATCAGGAGGTGGAGAAAGAATGACATTAAAGTTCTCGTTAGGATCTGGAATACTCACACAAACTGCTTAGTAGCATTATCTTCTTCCCCAAAGGCGAGGGTGTCGTCGTCTAGCAGCGGCACCTGCGGCACACCTGGCTGTAAGTAGCGTGGTAACAACACTACATCAGCTCAAGCCGTGCAAAGCAAATCAACTGCATCCACTATACTCTATAGAGCTTGAAATTAACTTCTTCCTACATAATTAATTGCAAATCAAAATAGCTAGGGAGTAAATATCATGATTGACTATAACACAATTATAATGTCGATGATAATGGTCTTGTAAATTAGGGAATGTTATGAAAATTAATATGAAACAGTTTCCAAACATGTCAGATATCGTTAAAATTCCAAACTCAAGCACTTACTGTCGCTGAATTCATTGCTGGGTTATTCATCCTCCTTTCTTTGTAACTAATGCTTTTATAATGCTTATTTTATTAATTAAAATATTGTTAATCGTACAGCTACTAGTAATTCGTCATCGATCTATAACAATTTTAAATGCAAGTTTATTTTATGTTTTGACATTTACACGAGACGAATACGAAATAGCTAGATTCAAATACCGGTTTGTAAAACAGAGAGAAAACCAATCTAATGCTTCGTTTCTAATATTAATGATAAAAATTGTGAAATATTATCATCACTAATTCTGACAATGACAGCTTTGACAAATGAAGCTGATGACATGTCAGATTAGGGATCCTCAAGCTTGAAAAGAAACCACAAAGAAATTCTTCAACAAACTTAGATTAAAAGAGATAGGTCTCGTTGTGTAACACATTGTTTTTTAGTATTATAAAGTCAATATTTACGTATTTTAAAGAAAAGATAACTTTTATGAACATCTGATGAGTAGTTAGGTACCTAATAGTAGAAGGTTATCGAGGTTTATACAAGGTTATCAAGTTTTTAAAATAAGGTTTATGTTTTCAATGGTAACGTTGAATAAACTGCTAAACTGACAAGTAATTTTAAAAAGGGCAATAAGATTCTTAAATGGAGGCCTCGTACGTACCGGCAAACCGCAAGTACAGTCTATAGATAGACGAGCTGTCTAACCTGATAAAATTAACAGGAAACAGCTGGTCACTTCTTTCAGGGCGAACGAAATTATTGGGAAAATAGGCCCATGACTACGATCAGCACTAGCAGTCGACGTCTTGTGGCGTGTAGCCAGTTGTGTAAGTATTGTGTATAATTTACATGTTAATAATATGTAAATAATAAATAATAGATAATAGTTAAGAATTTAATGAACGCATCTTGGAACATTTTCAAACGAATACTTATTGTCTTGCAGAAAATGGGAATAATAGTTATTTAGTTTTAATTCAAAGCGAAGTGACAAAGTAATTGTTTTCTTATTTATCTTTTATTAATTATTGTGTAATATTCCCTAACAATTTGGATAAACAAATTCCGTATCTGTATTATTTTATAGTTTTTGAACGAAGGTTGCGCATATCGCAGAACACCCGTTCTAACTTCACTGAAGTAAAAAAAAGATACACCTGTCAAAATTTTGCAGCAGGGCACATGCGAAGGCTGTTTACAATTTTGCAACATACTTGTGTTTGTCACTATTGTGTTATTTTTGTAGCTTAAAGTTACATTATTCTTGTGTGTCTTACGATGTCTTCCGCCGGCGCGGTTGTCGGTTCCCGCGTGTGGTCGTGATTCTCGGTTTTAGTGCGTGACAGGTGCGAATTTTGCGTAACGGAGTCGCGATGGGCGCAAAGGCGAGCACCGCCAACGGGGGGCAGAGTCCGCGCACCAGGACATTCTCCACGAGCTCCAGCTCTGAGGTGGTGTCCAGCGGCGCGGGGTTCAGCCTGTTGAGAGCGATACCCGGGATACAAGTGACGAACGACCGTCAGCGAGCCAGGTCGCTATCTTCCGTGCCAGACCTGCACGCGTCTCACGAGGCTATCGCGATCCCGCCTAACTCGCAGAGCTACGAAGCGTCAGCCGCAGCCAGCCCCGACACAGACTCGAGCTCGAACGAGGAGGCGGGCCCGGTGCCCGGCACCTCGCTTGCGCTGGGCCGGGTCTACGCCACGCACTCCCTGCCTTCACATATCTGGTCAATAAACGGTGAGTACCTAGCAGTAAGTTTCTAATTAATTAACACAATGTGAGGGTACTTTACTTGTGTTACATGTTAGGTAATCATTGTTGTTGTTTCATCAGATGATAATTATCTTGATTTGTTGACATTTCTGTGTAAAGCTTCAAGTCTATGTTAAGTTACCTGAATGACATTCCTACAAAGAATGTGTAAGAGAGGTAAACCACATGTTCACAAGTTCTCAGATAATCTAGATAATGTCTGTATTTGGCTACCAGTTCTTTGTTGAGCCAACAGTTTAATACATTACTAGCACACTTATATCCAATACACATTTATAGTGAGCCGTTGAATTATCTAAAATAGGTAATTGAAAAGTAGAGCTATGCTAAAGAATTATTAATACCTCCAAGTAGAAACCTGGCTACTTAAAATACTTTTCAATATATTACTACTTGTCACTACTGAGGAATGCATGTTAAATACATAGAAATAGTATTATCTTGGCATGTCTGTGATGTCTGTCTACAATCAGATATATTATGTATATTGTGATAAAATTATAATATGTATTTATAACAATTGATTGTGGTATAATTATATTTGAAATGAATCATGTAATAATGTCTTAAATTAAGCTTGTATATGAGAAATGCAGACAGTTGCAAGATTGTGTGTAGTGATAGGCTACATAGTATTTTCTTTTACCCAAATATGTTCTATTGTTCTATCGCTAGTTGTTATACTATTCCCAATTATTTATTAACTCGTCGAGTACCATATTTATAGACACAATTAAAGAACAATAGGTTGCGGTCACCGGTGACCGCTTGGTGTTTGACAGTTTAATATGAATGACAAACACCCAGTTTACCCTACAATTTACATATTTTCAAACAAATCTTATGTATTACAGTGGACCCGAATGGATGTGAGATTAGATATTCCTTATTTACCTAGTTGGTACATTATTCTCAAAATTAAATCAGTGGCATTATTAATTCCAATGGTGCACACTTTACTAGAGTTAAGGTGTACTTTGAATATAAAACTCAAATAATCGGTACTTACTTAATTTTAACCGATCAGAGATTAAGGCAATCAACAAGACAGTAGAGCAGTAATTTAAAAACAATAACGTATTTACATAACAATGAAATTATGTTGTAATAATAAATATAAATAATATTATAAATAAATAATAACTTTATCTGCAGTGTGTTAACATTGACCGTGAAATCTGTTTGTAGTTCATATTATTATGTATGGTGAATGTGTAATGAGGCATCCATTTAGGAATTGTTACATAATAGGTCCTAAATAGATTCGATTGAATATTCAATGAGAGAGGCCGCTCTGTCATTATATTGGGTGTTATTGAAAAAGATAGGGTTCGTAATGTTTTGTTCCCTGTTTTTATTTTCAATAAAAACTGTACATGGTTATATTGTAACTAAACTATTAGGTATGTTTTGTATCAGTATAAAATTTAACAGAAAAAACATGGTTTATTATGCTTGTTTATTTAAGTACTTGATTAGTTTTCTTACCTTAAGCTAGATAAAAAAGTTATTTACGCCATAGAGTCATAATAATTATGATAGCTAAAAGAAATCATGGCTGTTTCTGATTACTTATTGGCTTCAAAATATTATTAATAATTGTCTGAGTTTGGAAACAAGTTAACATGCATAGATTTCAAGTATAAGCCCCTTCTAGATATTAAAAAAGAGACATACAATGAATTTGGATAATTGTGTAATTTTAAATTCAGAATATTAATTATTTAGTTTATTTACATTACTTTATTTACAGCTATAAGTTAGTATTATGTATCGCATAAAAATATACCGCAGCTTGCACCCTCGTTACAATGTAAACACATCTGTCCTAAATTCTGAGTATGTAGTAGTGTATACATTCAACAACACTCGTTCGGGAGCGCGCGTTTATTGCATCAGTACGATAAACATCGGGACCACTGTTTCTTGAGTGTTCACATAAAATATTTCTGGCACGTCTGCCGCAACTATTGAAATAGTTTGTTCACCTCGTCCACAATGGACAGACACGAGCAATGGGCATTACTTGTCACGTTATTGAGCTATTACCGCGCTATTTCTGCCTACCTCACTACGGAGCGGTCGTGACAGCGACATCACTATTAACTCCCGTGCGTCTACGCGTCTGGGAGCGACTTTCTCGTACTATAATAAATCGTGGCCACTTTTCCGGGTTGAGGCGCACGCGCTTTAGTCGTTCAGTCGTGTTCGGACTACCGCAGCGCTCGCACCGCCACCACTATGTACAGACGCCGCTACCGCACCACCCTCGGGCTCGGGCTCGGCTCCTCCTTCTCCTCCTCGTTCTCGACGACGCTGTCGTTCCGCACCACCACTACCACCACCACGTCCGCCACCGACACTGTCAGGTCGGACGCGCGCGCCACTGCCGCTAAGCTCAAATCCAAGTATGAAAACGCCGGCACAGCGCAAGGTGCGTCTTACTAACGTGTGTGCGACTAATATCCATTCTCTTGTGATTTCAAAAAACTATAACTATAACATGTACCTACGTGTTTATTTTCCTCGCTCATATCCCGAGGAGTAATATCTGATCGCAACCTCTTTGTTAGTTTTCCTCATGTGAGGGATGTTGGTTGTGATTGCCCATTCCAACTATATTTGTTTCCCCATCGTTTATTGTAACAGTTCTATATTTGATAACATGAATTTCATGAACGAACATGGCCACATTTTCCTGGTCGAGATAAAATGTTTCGTGATAACTTTTGCGAGCTTTTAATATTATCGTTTTATCAGAGCTACAAAAGTGCTTTAAACATATTGTATCTGGGTGGATTTTGTTCGTACTTTTATTAATTTTCGTCTAGACTTTGGATCAAGTATTTTCTACAAATACTTTTACGAGAAAAAATCTCCGAACATTTTGTACAGTGAGCGTATTCTTCAATGTTTAGTTGATGTTAATAAATCATACGCTCGAACATGTGCTATGTATAGCGGAGTTGTCCGAATTCTGTGACAAGAACGTTTTGACATAATTGTGTCAGAAACTGACGAGGGAACATTAAGTACGCAGCCACTCGATACCAGCTCGCAGACAGCCTAGGGCTGCCGTCCTGATGAAAACAATAGTAATTTCAAGTTAGTTAACTTGAAAAGGTTTTTAATGGGATTTTAATTAAACTTCTTGAGGAACTAGCAAGTAAATAGGTACCGAATAATTTATTGTACACTGAACATGTTGACACAAAACACTAAAATAACATAATGTAGCTCAATGTTTACATGCCGTATTTTTGTTTAAGTCAGTCCATTATCAACTCATTGCTTTTAGTAGTTTTTTATTATTTCAGTTTTTCACTCCAACTTAAAACCTATCAAAAACTTTGATTAAAAAATACGAATAGTACAGCGCTATATTAAAATGGCAATTAAGTTTAAAGTGTCTTATGAAAATATAACTAACAAGACTAAATGTAAAGTTAATTATCCATCATTCCATCCTTTACTACTAAGTAAATACAAGAAATGACCTGCTAGAGACATCTTATCACAGGACTTAGGTTATTTAGCTATTTATTAAACGACCTTGTTTTAATATATTTTTTCACCGCTACATTACCGGCTGCCTGCCTTTTCAGGTAGTCAAGTAACGGAGCAACACAGGCAAAGCGAACCCTTGACTAAATATTTTTATTCTACTTTTTATGAGATATAATTTAAGCGAGTTTCTCTACTGTTGCGTAATGAACTTCTAGGACCTCGCTTTGTCCGCGTGCCGTCCGTGAGTTAAATGCTCTTTAAATTGTCCTATTTAATATGACACACTGGGTTTGCATGTTTATGAAACTGCATCAGTAGTTTGCCGGCAAACTGAAACTGACATTCTGTGAACCGTCAGATTTGACAATTTATTATGCATATTCATAAAAAATAAAACAGATGAACGCATTCAAATATAAAATGTTGATATGTAAACGTTTATTCTATTCGTGATTTGCCACGATGAGATAGATATACGTGACAGCTTCTGATTCGTCTCATTTATGTGTCTAGTATAAAATAAAATGTTGTTACCCCAACCGTAGTGTGACTACATGTAAACATGCTGTGGCTGACAGGCTCTAGGCTTTAAATAAGTCTGACATTTGACTGTCGTCTGAACTCGATTTGTCGTAAACGCTAAATCAAACAACGCGTCACTCTGCTAAGATATTAATTTTAATATTTACGATTTAAACGAAACTAGAGCTGCTACCGCTCTGGTAAACAGCTACATATCCGCGACTGTCGTGAAATACAACTATTTCCACTCTGGGAATATTCCGCAATTAGTAGACTGAATGATAAACTTAGCATTACCTAGAGTCATACGTTTATTTGACCTGGGATTTTTTGTCGCCATAAAGGACTTTCAGGTTACCTGCGTGCGTTGTAATAACAATCAGTTTGTTTTCGAATCGGTGTGTAATGTTTCGTCGTAAAAATCGTGTGCTTCTGCGTCTTATTCTATTTATAGTCCTTATTTAGTTTTTGTTCTTACTTTCTCTCGCTTTTCTGGAAAAACATGTCTGATGTTTGTTATGATGTCGGGCGAATTTCGAGAATCGCCTTTGGGAATTGAGTAAGTGTGGATAGCTAGTAAGCTGTTACTATTGTTTAATTATGGCGATTTATTTCTGCAAAGCTTTTCTGCATATTTTACACTGGGTTGAACAACAACTCCGAATTACTACATGCGCGTTACAAAAACAGAATGATTTCATACTTCAACATAAATCCTCACGCGAAAAATAATGTCAAAAAGGAAGATAAATAGAGCTTTTAAAACCCCGTAACGTTCGGAGTTCGCAAACAGTGTAATCACTTGCCGCTACCGCGACTACCGCCCTCGTATCTGTATCCGCGACTCGGTCTATATCCGCAGGGTCGCTTCCCTACTGGAAATGTAGCAGTTTGCTCGAGGAAGCTGCCTCAATAATGTTCTATTTATTATCCTAACCGCTATCGTAATGTTTATACGACACCAATTCTACAAGGATTTCATGCACTTTATTTTTATAATCAAAAACAAGCGGATAAATGTTTTTCAATATTTGCATAAATAATGGAAGAGCTGCATAAAGCTGGATGATGTTTTTTTGTTTCTTAAATTGTGGAATATAGTTTTTAAAATACGGCATATTGACCTAACCATGATTCATGCACCCAGTTCACCTCATCTGAGAGATGTAAGTTGTGACTCCGCTGTTGGATGAAGTCACCTCTCAACACCCAAGAAACCAAAATCAATATCAGTTGGTTTGGAAACTGTTTTACGCAGCTTGAAAGATTGGAAAAAAACTGGTTATTTTCCATTTTTAAATTTTAATTGGTACGGAGATGTGGCACGGCGTATTAACTTTCTGAAGGAAGGTTAAAGTCAAAGTCAAAGTCAAAATCAAAATCATTTATTTCAATTTGACCAGAAAGGCACTTTTGAACGTCAACAAAACAAATTGAAAGTGAAGCTATTTGCTCATTCCAAGGTGTAGATTCCTATGGAGAAGAACGAGCAAGAAACTCCATAGGTTACTCTTTTTCAATCAGATTCACAATACAATTCTCTAGTTACATAGTTTTATTGTTTGGATTGTACGAGAACAATGTAACACTAAAATACAGTCAAAGAGATCGAAAAAAAAAAACCTTAAAGGACAGTAAAAAAAAATACAGTCTGGGGCTGACCAGTCCCAGTTGACGGCGCCCGTTCACGAACATGACACATAAACCAGCACCGCCCAACTCAAGCATATTGTAGGGAATCGAGCGATCCACTGCACGTGCCACCAATGAGACCTTAGAGTAAGCATGACAACTCCAAGCTGACACAAACGTATTCTACTATTCTAATTTATTATTTTAAAATAAATTATATATATTACTTATAAAAAATTAATAAGTTAAATACTCTGATAGGTAAAATGAGGAGGTATGATGAGCAGTTAAGTTTTCCATAACACCAGTGACGTTATCAACTACGTGTGTCGTAAACATGACAAATAAATTGAACTCGTAAATCCAGGAGCAAACAGTTTCTGCATCATTGCTGTCCATAAACCATATAGGTTATGCGATCCACGTGGCTGCACCTGGGAAGTCGTTAACGTGCTCCCAGCTGTGGAACTTCGTGTATTTATCCTGGAAAGGCAAATACTGTGATGCTATTTATACTGCTGCTCACAAATCTGTATTTTAGATTTAAATTATTTACAGAGCAACATATTAGTTAAACAAATTTTCAGAAGGCCCAATCATTAAGCTATCGGGCACTGGAGGTTCATGCAAAATAATTTTATTGTTTAGTTACCTAGCTTTGTGAAGCTTCAGGTAAGTACACGTGCTAGCTATGAACACCAATGTGGGTACATTGGCTACATTGCTCCCAAGGGTCTTATAACATCTCTCCTGCTACGTGAGGCTGTGGATAGTTACAATTCTTTATTTCCTATCTTCTTCTTGGTTCTAACCAAGTTACAGTAGAAGAGCTGTTAGGCTAGTGTTCACTATTCAACAAATCAGCAATGTTTTCTGTTTAAAACTACTATAAAGATTTTTGGTGGTTCCTTTGACTTTATAGAGAAAAGTTTCAAAAGTTATTTAAAATGTTATTTAAGTAACTTATTTTGACGGAACTCATGGCCCGGCATTGTCTAATTAGCTGGAACGTTCGTGTTCAGGCGCTAACTGATTGACTTGTTACTGTCTCATGTCTGAACATCATTAAACTCCGGTTAACACCTCAACTACTAATTGGCGGTTTGATAATTACTGGAGCATTTGGTGGTAATTTAATTTCCTATTCAGATCTATGTATTCAAAGAAGGAACAACTATTTCAATATTTGAGAACATGAAAGTTGGTTTAGTAATTCTTCATTAAAATTTTATAGGCACTCGTAATGTGTATTTTAGCTGCAAGCGTTATTTGTGAACGTAAGTTAAACATCCGTGTGTTCCAAATACTGGTATAGTTAGTACCAGCGATGTCCTATATGCGCTAACAATAAAACTAGGTCAGACATAGCTTTAGAGAAGGCATGAATTGATTTATGAATGCAGAGGAACAATTAAATTTTGCTTTCATTCAGAATACAAGCGACTACGGTTCCAATTAGGGCATTAGCAAAATAAAAATGGTAGAAAATTTTGTGCAAAAGCATGTATATAATGTAAATAACCATCACTAAACACACGCACAGGACAAATGTTAAAATAGAGTACGCACAACCTAAAATAAAGTGCTAAAACCAACCCATTCATATATTTTGTTATAAAACTAATTCTGCTCCTAAACGCTATAGTAAGATCTAAAATACTCGTAATCGTGTGCGTTGCCACCTGGCCAATATTTGGCACTAGGCTGGACGCGGCCGCCCCACTGACTTGGCCTACATCCGCTTTAAATAGTGCGTACGCGCATCTCACTGTGCCGCTATTGGCACATGTCGATTTTACTAAAAACTTACATAGGATGTTATTGAAACTTGAGATCCGAATCAAAATTATCAATATTCCAGGAAAATCTTCAAAATATTTTTCCGAAAACGAATGTTGTTTTATACTTTTTCACATGAAATCCAAGAATTTTCTTCTTTCCTTATAAAGTGTAAAAATATAAATTTGTATCTACAAAGATGTCAACTACCTTATGCTGAGCAACAGGATTATTCTTAAGAATATGTATTTAATTATCTCGAACCTTGGTACCAGGAAAAACTCCTGAAAAGCTATATTTAAAGAACATAATTTATTAAAGGAACTTGGGTACACTATATTTATCAGTTTTCTCCGGAAATATGAAATTATCAAGTTCACTAACACGTAGTTGTTCATGATTGTGTTCCAGATGGAATGGTGTAAGCCCAACAGAAAGCTTTGAAAAATAATTTACTAGTTTCATACAATGACAATATTTCTAAATGACGTTTATAGTAACGAATAAAAACAATTGAGGAGGAGTGTATGTGGGCACGTTGCTTTGTATGTGCGGTTCAATTCCCGTTGGATCCCCGCCAGTTCCCTTGTTTATCACGACGGGATTTAACTCCGTCTCCTCGAGTCGTCG